TAAGGTGAAGACGTTAATGATACACGGCGACAGTGATTATGAACATGCAACTGAAAAGTAAACGATACTAATTATGAAAATATACATAACAATGAGAAATTTATTACTGACAATATTTCTCTGGGTTATTTTATACATGTTGACATCGAATGAAATAACCTTCTATTCACATTCTTTTTTATCTACATGCTTTAAATCAAAAATTAGCAATTTATGTACTACTTAGAAACAAGGCACCAGAATCAAGATATTTGAACTGCTTTTTTATTCATATAGCCTGTTATAAAAGAGTGAAAACTCACATCAACATCTGACAGCTTAATTAATGTGCTTTCACAATAAATGCGATTGTTATGTCACATAAGCCATTCCCTTCATCAAGAACATTTCTGCCTTATAAGCAAAATTAGGGTAGCTTGCTGCTCAGGAAAACAACCATGGAGAGAGAAAATTAGGGCCCACTTTAGACCGTCGCTCTTCAAGCGAGAAAATGAGCAACACGGTAAAACTTAAGAGACCTATGGGAACAATATAGGAACTCATTTATTGTGAGTCTTATGGAGACTGAGTTTTCAAACGGAACCATAATTAGTGATGTAGAAGTCTTGGTGACCTACTAAGATTAACAGTTATGCTTACAACGTCTGGGACTCACCGTTGTCTGACGAAAACATGCATCGAAAGGAGAGTCTGTCATCGCTTGAATCGATAGAACTTCGGAAACAGTGAATTACACTAGAAGAACAAGTTATAAAATACACTAGAGAAAAAACAGTACATCATCACTGGCGACGACGATCTAACACTTTGTTTCCTTGAAGTCAACTTTTATATACTTGCATTCAAATTCAATTTTATACCATATATTCTTTTTACATTCAAATTATTGTTCTTCTTACCTTGGCCAACCTCGCATTTTTCTATTTCATATTCTACTTCCTTTCCAAACTAATTCTTCTACGACTAACGGTACCGCCGCTGTCATCAGCAAAATCGCATGAAGGAGCC